TTCCCAGAGCCCACGTCAACTATTTGAGCTCTGCATGTGACTGCTTTCACTCGTGACCACCTCCTCCTCCTTGCACCTTCCCAGACTTTGGTGTGCCCCAAAATCACTGCCTGTTCCTGAGTGAGAAGTAAAGGAAAGAAAAGGGAAAAAAAAAAATCCACTGTCTTCCCATCAGGAAATTTGCCTGTTAGCACCCCAGCTACAAAAATCTCAATGGAGCTTTTCCCCCCCAAACAACCCTCGCTGATGGGAAGTCTAAAAATAAGCGCCTTCTCCACAAACAGCTTAAAGATGTTGAAAACGAAAAGCAACAAGGGATGTAGAACGCATGACTCACTAAATTACAGGGCTATCTTTCGAAGAGCAAAACAAAACACAAAGCCCTCCCCACTGAAACTCGCCGGGGCTGAGGCTGTGCGCTCGTGGAGCTGGCGCAGCCACCCTATTGTTGTGGGATGGCAAAGGGCTCAGAGCCCTCATTGCACATTTCCTTCACGCCGTGTGCCAGAGAGCTCTCCGTGTAAATAAGCCACGTGTGAGCAGGCAGCTCCATGGCACGGATGGGAGGTGCTTTTCTCCCACCCGTGGGCATGGCTGTGAGTTTGGGACCCAGAGCGCCTTGCCTTGCTCAGCCGTTGGTGTTTGGACTCTCGAGCAGATTTTGGTAGGTGTCACTGTGTTTGTCCACAGCTCCAGTTTGTTGGGATAATGTGATGAAAAGGAATTCTTGGCTTGTTGGGTTTTTTTTTTGGTATGTTGTCTTTTTTTCTCCCCAAAGGTCTCTTCTTGCAGTGTTGCTTTGGTGTTCCAACACTGATGCTTTCTTAACGTTTGCAGATGAGCTTGAATCAAAATCTTGGCGTTATGAGACAGCAGGAGAGGGATGGATGCGTGCCAAACCTATGCCTACATCTGATGTTTGCAGCCAACCCCAATCTCCCTAATAGGCTGAAATGGAGCCTTGGATGCAGGCAGATGGCGGGGCTGGAGATGTGGCTCTGCCAGAGTCTGGGGCTGCTATCAGTGTGTGCAGTGCCTTCACTCTGCTTGTGGCAGCTATGGGCTGCCCTTGCCACCATCAGCACCTGCACTTGTAGCCATCCTCCTCTGCAACAGCAGGGCTGACTTTTGTGGTCTGATAGTGATAGGCTTTAAACTAAAAGAGAGGAATTTTAGGTCAGATGCGAGGAGGAAATTCTTCACCCAGAGGCAGCGAGGTGCTGCACTGCTGCACAGAGCTGTGGGTGCCCCATCCCTGAGCTGCCCCAGGGCACAGATGGGGGGCTGGGAGGCACCCAGCCCACGGCAGGGAATGGAACTGGATGGTCGTCGAGCTTCCTTCCAACCCATTCTATGGTTCTATCAGCCCATCACTGCAAGATGCCCCTTCCCTGAGCCCACGACAGTGTTTGGTTGGCATGCCTCAACCCCAAATGTCCCATTGCTCAGTACACGCAAAGCCAAACTGATCAGTGCATCCACTGTGTGCTTTAGCAGGTGCGCCAAGGCTGCACGCAGCCGTCGTAAATCCTCACCCGGCAATGACTTAATCGAGATGTCTAGTTCTGAAATGCACTAATTAAACTTCAGAATAAACCACCCTGGGCACAAGCACCGCAAATAAAAAGTAAAAATACAAGTTTCTCCTGGGATAATTAACCATCATTAAAACATGAAAATCCAGGCTGGGGAGCAATTGTGCGCCTTCCACAAAGCTTTTAATCAGAAATAATGGGCTGAAATTAAGCAATACGAAAAATTAGGCTGAAAGGTAAGAAATGAAGCCCACGTGTGAGAGCTGACAGAACACACGGTGCTCTCCAGCCTTCTTCAGGGAGCAGCCAAATGTGAATTTCTGGGACACATACAACCTGAGTGGACCAAACTCCCCACACAGTGCTGTTGGAAATAATTGCAGCCCTCCTCACTTCAACAGCCATCATAGATTTTCCGTAGTTTTAATTTTGGTGGATCACCCCTAGCTGAGCACTGCCATTTTGTTTCAATAGAGGATTTTCTCATCTCTGGGACCTCTGAGTTTGACCCTGCAGCCTTACCTCTAGATGTAATCTGAGCTATTCTCAGATGTCAGCCTCTTTGGGAATCATTCGCTGGCTTGCCCTGCCTCCCCTTGGCACTGCACTCGTGGCTGCCATTCTCACTGCACGCTCAGCGCTCACCCACTGCTTCCCTTGATCTCAAGTCAGGAATCCAAACTGAAACCAAAGCCCTTTGGCTTTGTTGAGTATCTCCTTGTGAGCTGGGAGGTGCCCACCTACAATGGGCCCAGCAGGGGCACGACAGCTTGGAAGCAAATTGCACCCAACTGTACCCACTTGTCAGTAGGGCACTGGCTCAGCACGAGTGGTGATGAGAAGCACCGGTCCCCATGCAGGTCCCTGGCACCCACCTGTCCTCCCTGACTGCTTCTTCAGCACACTGCTTTGTCTCTCTTGTATTATATAATATCTTATATTGTATATTATTATATAATATGTCACCCAGAGGGTGGTGAGGCACTGGAACAGGCTGCCCAAGGAGGCTGTAGATGCCCCATTCCTGCAGGCATTCAAGGCCAGGCTGGATGTGGCTCTGAGCAGCCTGGGCTGCTGGTTGGTGACCCTGCACATAGCAGGGGGTTGGAACTGGATGAGCACCTATGGTCCTTTTCAAGCCAGGCCATTCTATGATTCTATGGTCTACACAATACTATATATCATGATTCCAAGAGTGCAGCACAGCCATTTCTTTCATGGAGCACCACCCCATGGGTCCTGAGGATGTGTTCCTACAATGGGGTCTGGCATGGTCTGTTCTGTGTTTTCCCAAAGACAAAGAGAGCAGGGCTGGAGGCTGGTCCTATTTTCACAGAGCCAGGTTTGGAGATATTCTGGGTATGTTTAGGGTTTAATGAGAGCATGGTCCTTTAACAATTTTTAATAATAAATACAGAACCCTGATGGATTTTCCAGCTACTGTACTCAGCTGTGAAATTTGGAACCTTTTTGGCTAATGTCTTCCAGAACTGCAGGGAAGGAAATTAGCTGAAGGCAGGGAATAACAAGGGGCTTTGCCCCCGCTTCATGCACGTAAGCAGCCTGTCTGGAGCTCAGAGCATCGCTCACGAAGTGCATTTGTGGATCAGGAGAAAATGAGAAGGGAAAAGGGTGCAAAGAGGGTGATCCAGGTCATGCCCCAATGGAATATTCTGCGAGCAGGGAGTGGGATGCAGGAGTCCTGTGCTGGAGCAGGGCAGCTGCTGGAGCACGAGGGGTTGAGCACCGATGGAGGTGGTGTATCTTGTTGGCATGGAGAGCAACCACAGCAACAAGCCCTCTGCCCACGCTTCTTGGGCTGGTGGCCACGTTCCTTCCGATGGTGACACCCCGAATGGGGAACATCATGGCTGCAAGAAAGGAGGTGGGGATGTGAGTGAGATGCCTTTGAGCTACAGAGCTGGTGCTTGTCCTGCTGCCCCTTGGGTTCAGTGCTGGTGTGGCTGTGGGAGCGGGCTGTTTCCTGCTCCCAGCAAAGGCAGTTCTGAGCATTTGGTTTCCAGTGGAGACCCTTCTGCTGGCAGCTAATCCCCCCATCTGCATGTATTTGGCTTGAGCTGTCTTGAGCTGAACTGTACCTCACCAGTGTTTGCCTTTCTCTGTCACTGCACTCCAGTGGACTTGTTGATATCAGGCAGAGATCCAAAGGGTGCATGCATGGGCTTCTCGTACATCCAGAGATGGGAGCAGAGAGCCAGGCGAGCATCTGCAGGTGAGGGCAGGATGGGAAAGCTTTTCTGGCTGCTTTGTGGTGGCTCCTGGAGCTCAAGGGTGATGCTCAGCTGCCAGAAGAGGAGCAGACCTTTGAGGTGCATTTGTTGTGCTGTTGCAGAACAGTCAGGAGCTGAGGCTGCCTGAGTTGATGTGCAGCTCTGCTCCTCAGCATCAAGCTGGCGGTCGGGTGGATGCACAGGCTGGGATGTGGTGCAGGGTGGCACAGCATCACAGGAGGCACACGTGGATGTGGCTTCATTGCTGTTTCATGGAATCGTTGGGCTGGAAGAAACCTTAAAGCCCATCCATTTCTAACCACTGTTATGGGCAGGGATGCTTCCCATCATTTCAGGGTACCCAGAACCCACCCAGCCCAGCCTCGAGCACCTCCAAGGACGGAGGCACCCACCATACCTCGGGGCAAGAGCCTCCCCTTATTTTCCCAAAAAGACCAGGCAGCATCATACACCTCTCACAACCAAAAAAAAACCAAACAAAACAAAACAAACCAAAAAACAAACCAAAAAAAACCACAAACCAAACCAAACAAAAGAGACCCGCAGAGCTCAGGGAGAGCAGCCAACTTTCCGAGTCCACCACCACCGACCCTCAGATGGGCCAACGCACCCGCAGGAGGAGGAGGCCGGAGCGAGCGGAGCCCGGCCCCCTCTTTCCCCCCGGGGGTGGGCGGCTGGGCTGCGCGGCGGCGGCGGCGGCGAGGAAGGGGTTAGCGGGGGCCCTGCCGCAAGGTGGGCCGCGACGGAGGGTGGGCCCCGGGCGGGCGCTGTGCCGCCGCCCTGCCCGGGGGCTGCCGGGGAGCGCGGCGCGGCGCGGCGGGGCTGTGCGCTGCGCGCGGGGCTGCGGGGCCATGGGGCGCTGAGCCGCAGCGCTGCCCGCCGCGCCGCCCCGCTCTCCTCCGCTCCTCTCATCACTCACCATCGTTAGATACGTTGAATTATTTTTTTTTTCCCCATTTTTTTCCTTTTTTCTTTTCTTTTCTTTTTTTTTTGTTCTTTTTCGTCGCTTTTTTTCTTCCTCCCCCTTTTCCCTTTTTTCCTTTTTTCCCCCCATTTTCCTTCCCCCTCTTTTTTTTTTTCCATTTCCCCCTTTTCTCCTCCCTTCCCCCTTCCCCCCCCCCTTTCTCCCTATTTTCCCTTTCTCCCATTTTCCCCCCATCTCCCCCTTTTTCCCTCCTCCCCCTTATCCCATTCTCCCCTTTTTACTCTTTCTCCCTTACCCTCCCTTTCCCCCCTCCTTTTCCCCTTTTCCCTATTTCCCCCTTTCTCCCATTTTCCCCTTTCCCCCTCTTTTTCCCTCATTCCTCTTTTTCTCCCTCCTTCCACTCCTTTCCCCCTCCTTTATCCCTTACCCCCCTCATTTATCCCCATCCATCCTTTTCCTTTTCCCCCCATTTTTTTTCCCCTTTCCCTCTTTCCCTTTTTACATTATTTCTCCACCGCCTCAACCTCCCTCACCGCCCAGTTCTCTGCCTCCTCCCGCACCCCCCCCCTCCCTACCTACCTCCCCTTTTTCATAACTCGGCCAGGAGCGATCTGGAGGGGGGGGGCCGAGGAGCCAAGCAAACCTGTAGCGGCGGAGCCAGCTGGTGGAGAGGTGAGTCCGGGCCAGGGGGGCTCCAACGATGGGGATGGAGGGTTCCGTGCACCCCCTGGGGGCACCCAGTGCTCAGTGTGACACCGACCTGTTGGACCCCCCCCCCCCCCCCCCCCCCCCCCCTCGAAGGCAGCGAGATGCTGCGGGTGCCTCCTCTCCCTGCTCGGCGCTGTGGTTCGGGTGTTGCGGTGGTTTTGGTTTTATTTTTTCCCCCCTGGCTGCGGGCACGCGAGTTGCCATGGAGCGGTGTGGCAGCGGTGTGCTGCCTCCGAGCCCCTCTCTTTAATTTGGAGGCCCTCTCCCCGCTGGGAACGCGGTGATGCAGTAGGGTACCGCTGCGGTGTGCCCTGCTCCGTGGAGTTAGGTAAGAGTGGAGATCCCTGAGCACAGGGAGCATCCGCCGATGGAGCAGTCGGATCTGAATGAGTGTCAGAATCGATGAACGCGTGTGATATGCAGTGGGGAACTTGGCCCTAAGCACCGCCTGACACCGCCGTCGGAGGACTCCCAAAAAGAATCTGGTCTCCTAGAATTGGTTTTGATGCATTCAGCCTCGTCGTATGGCAGAGATAACTCCCACTGCCAGATTTAATGCATGGTTTGCAGTGATTGCTGCCTGCTGTACCCACCTGAAGGGATGCGCCCAGGAAGGCTGAGCGCTTTGTGGTGTCCTGAGCGTGAGCTGTGTGCTCACCCACCCTCAGCTCACACCTCATCCACCCACCCAGTTGCACTGTTTGCACATAGCAGCTCCCCCTGAGCACCCTGAGAGCTCCACAGTGCTCCGGTGGCTCCGGAGATGGTTGGGGTGGAAATGGGCTCTGGGAGAGAGTGATGATGGATGGGGCTGTGATGTTTGGAGGAGAGGTGCAGGGCTGCTCGCTGGGTACCACTCCGTCCTCCTCGCTGTGTGGGAAATGGAATTTCCCCATTGTTCAGCTGTGCAGTAGCTGCACGAGGCTGTGATTGGCAAAGCGCTGGATCGCCCAGGTTGCTCGCATCACGTAGGCAGCTGCCACTGAAATGACACACTTGATTGAAGGCCAGAAGCACCATATACGTAACTGCCTGTGATTAAGCTCCATATGATGCCTCGGAGCGAGTAAAAAACCCCTCCTTCGCCTCGTCTTATTTGCAACAAGAGCACCGTTGCAGGGATATCGTTTGGGTCACGCTGTGGGTTTGGGGACAGTTTGGTTTGGTTTTGGGATTGGGTTTTTTGGATTGCTCTTTTTCTTCTGCTTATGGCTGTGGAATTTGGTGACCTGAAGCTATCCGGCAGCTGCTTGGTGCCCGATGAGAGCCCTCTGCCATAGGTGTGCCGGTGGCTGGGGATATCACTGTGACCAGGTAAGGGCTCCCATTGCCATCCTTTTCTTACCTAGGGATATCCCAGCTGGCTCATAAGGACATGGAGAGGGTCTTTGCCCCTTTCCCCACTGGCATGCATGTGTGGTGCTGTGGCTGTTTCTGCCAAGAAGCTTTATTTGGGTGTTCCTGTGTGAAGCCAGGAGTTGGACTCGATGACCCTTACAAGTCCCTTCCAATTCAGGACGTTCCATGTTTTTTTTTCACTTTTTGGAGTCATTGCAGGTCCTTTCCCATTTGCTCAGAGCACACACTGTACCTGCAGATAAATCCCCCCATGTGGCACTTGTGGCTGAGCCCTGGGATGTTCCTGAGAGGGCTCTGTCCCTCAGGAGATGTGCTCTCTGGGCACCTTCTGCCTGCTGGGGCAGCGCCAAGGCAGAGCTCAGTCCTGCAAACTGCTGGCTTGCATCAATGTGCAGAACCACTTTTAGAGCATCTCCTTGCTGCCCAGTCTGGCAGAAAGAAAAAAAAAAGACAAGCAGACCAACCATCCAAACCCAGCAAAACTTACAGGAATCACCTGTACCCATGCCAATTTAGAGAACATCTTCTTCCCATCTCGGCTGCACCTTCTCTCGCTGTACTCACGCCCTGACTTCATGATCAGGCAGTTTCTACCCGGCCATGACGTGCTGGTGTATTATGCTGATGCAGCTTATTCCCACCATATCATGAAGTATGGATATCTGTCGACACAGATGAGTGTACAAACAACGTTTCTGTGGCCGCTTGTCCTGGCTTTCCTTCCCAGTCCTGCCTGGTACACGCAGTGCCAGGTCCCGTGCGTCTCATGCAGCCTCCAGGAAGCAGTCCTCTGTAAGTTACCATGCCATGCAAGCCCTTGTATTTTATTTTACTCCAAATGACCTAATTCCTAAGCCAAATGGTTGTCTGGCCGATAGTGAGATGATTGTACCGTGCATGTTTTATCATCCAGGGTGATTGTAAGCTGAGCTGAATACCCGGTGAGAAACAACGTGTGTTAGCAATACCAGTAAACATCATTTTAGTCGATTGGTGCACATATAACTTTATTGATTCGGCACGAAATACGGCAGGCAATCTATTAGGGGATGTAAAGAGAAGCAGGTAGAGCCTTTTTGGAGTATGTTGGGGATACAGAATGGCTTTGGGAGTGTTCATTTTAATCAGGTGGATCGCTAAGGCAAACCAAAGTGATTTGTATGGCTCCTGTAAACAGTGCCACGTCAGTTTTACTCAGCTTTGTGCCGTCTGCAGCTGTAGATCTATCAGTGCTTTGCAGGCCTGGGAAGATATTTCGTTGTATTTTTAGTGTAGAAAGTGTAAGCAACAAAAGTGCATGCATAGGGCATTATGCAATAGTGCTTGGGCTGTCATGGAAGGAGGGCAATAGAAACAAGCTGCTTCACAGGTCTGCTTTTAATTAGAGGCAGCCTACTTTGATAAAAGCACGAAAACCTGAAAATGTTTCTCCGATGGAAGGCGTTTAATTAGAGCTGCAGCGTGGATTTCGTCTGTTGAACCTGGAGTCCATGGGTAGGGCGTGGGAAATGCATAGCAATCGGGTGGGCGGCTCTAAAAAGTGCCCTTTTGTTCCTTGTGCTTAATACCTGCCTGTGGAGGCTCTGGGGTGTAAGTCTATATACGTTTTTGCAGCCTGCTAAAAGCAAACCGTAACGTCTGCGCTGTGTGCTGTGATGTCTGCTCCCAGCTGAGCAGCACAGACCTCCCTTTGCTGTACAGCACCACTGGGGGCTTCACCCTGCGCAGGGCTTTGGGTGCTGTGCTGTGACCCATGGCTGTGATGGGGACACGTGCGTGCCAACAGTTTCCTTGGGGTCTTCGTTCACATAAAGCAATAATGTGAGGGAGCCCAAGAGGCAGGGAGCTGCTCGGTTGCATCCTTTGCAGGTTGGGATAGCAGAGGGAACGGGCACCCCTGGCATCCCGCTCCCATTTGGCTTAATTCCTTCCTAACCCAAATTGTCTTTGCGTGTCTACTTGCCTGCAGCCCGGGGCCTGATTCTGCCAAGGGGTCAGTAGGGCAGAGCCCTGTGGAAGTTAATGAGGCTCTGGGATTGATCCGGTTTAATGAGGTTTTCTTCATTCTCCTCTGTTTGCAGGACCGTAGCTGTTTGCGTAGGTACTGGGATCACAGCAGAGGGTTAGCCAGTCCTGCAAAGCTGTAGGCAAACAGCTAAGCAAATTGCCCTTTGCTCGGGTGAGTGTTGCTGATGCTTGCAGCCTATCCCAGCAAATAGGATAGGATAGGATAGGATAGGATAGGATAGGATAGGATAGGATAGGATAGGATAGGATAGGATAGGGTAGGGTAGGGTAGGGTAGGGTAGGGTAGGGTAGGGTAGGGTAGAACAGAACAGAACAGAACAGAACAGAACAAAACAGAATAGATTGAGTTGGAGGGGACCCTTACTGGTCATCTAGTCCAACTCCCCTGCAATGAACAGGGACACCCACAGCTCCATCAGGTGCTCAGAAGATGAAGGTATTGGGAATTTTGCCATCACCCCCCCTGCTTGCTGCAGCCCCCAGAGGGATTTGTGTATTGCATATTTGTGTAGCTCATTTGAAAGGGTGTGGGGACCTGTCCAGATAAAAGATGCTACCAAAAATGTCGCAGCACTGTGTTCTTTGGGATGTGTTTCTACATTCGTTGTTAAGGTACTCAGTTCTGACTCCCTTTAAAACCTGCAGTTGAAGAAAAATGCCCTCTCTGCACTCTTTTTTTCTGCGTATGGGCGACCTCTTCTTCAGCAGTGGTTCCCCATGGAGAGCTGTCAGGCGTTATGCAGATGAGATTCCAAACAGTTGATCATTCCTGCCAGGTAGTGGGGCTGGGAGCAGGCAGCTCCAGAGCAAATCCCAGGGAAAACAAGAAAATGACGTCTCCGTAACTGTTTTCAATTATTCAGTCTCAGTGGTTCTCCTTATGTTTCAAGAGGGAACACGCAAATCTCTCTGGGTCTAGCTTGTTTACAGAGCGCTCGTGGGTTTAAAATACGACCAGCCTTGCATTTCTGTTGTACATTCCCTTCAAATAAATACTGACATAAAAAGAAGGATGCTGTAATTTGTGCCACCCCAAGAGCAAAATCCCGCGCTCCAGCAGGAAATAATCATTTTGGTTTCTTGGAACAGCTTCGCTCTGATCTTCCAAAGACCGGTAGCCCAAAAAGAAGGAAGCACAGACTTCCTCCAGGCTGCTGAGCTGCTCTTTGGTGGGGTCTGGTGCCTTTGAATGGAGGTCTTGGAGGATGAGGTGCTCAGGTTTGGTCTCTCTTCCCATGAGCAGCCAAGCAGCGCTGTGGTTGTTTTCAAACGAATGGCCCTGGGTGCTTGGGGTGGAGAAGTGCTCGGATTGAGTCGTGGTTTGAAACTTCTGCTGTGATCCACCTCGAGTTTTAGTGGAATTGTGGCAGTGTTATGATTACCCTCGCCGCTTTAATTACTTTCTGTCTCATTCATATATGTTGATGGCTCCCATTCTCGTAGCTTAAAGGAAACTTTCTGTAGGAACCAGCAGCCAGTGCTGTTAAAAATGAGCCCTCACCAGATGTCCAAAGCCTTCTTTAAAGAAGAAGCCTGGCATAGGCCGCATTTATTAGGAGTAATTAATTGTCCTATTA